TATTCTTTACTCTGCCCAACTTGATGTGTGACCTTGGGCAAGTCACTTAACCTTTGTGCACCTCTTTCTCCCAGCTGTAAAATGGGGATAACAACACTTGCCTGATCTAATAAGGTGATTTGATATCTATGAATGAAAAGTGCTGTGTAAATTCTAAGTATTATTAATTGAATAGACATCTGAGTTTAAGCAAGTGTCTATGTTTATTTTAATTATCAGTCAAAGAAAAACATAAAAGAGGCTCCTAATATCAATGATGTTCTCTATAAATGATGTCCAGATAAAGATCTCTTATAAGACAATTATACAGTTGTCTGCAGTAATGGTCCAAAACATTAGAGTTTAGTATTATTCCTGTGTTCTGGCCCATAACTATAGGATATTACATTTTTAAAATATATAGATTGTATCTCTGAGTTATAGAGGCTGTATGTCTAGATATCTAAGGGTGTGACTGCACTAGAAAAATTGGTAGCCATATTAACCATAAATATGGCTCCAACAGTGCTAGGAATGGTGGATGCTATAATGTAGACAGCATAAACACAACATTGTCAAATTTCCTCTCTATTGCTGCAGGAAGGGAGCAATAGAGAATTAGCAGTTGCTGTATCTAATTTAGCAGGAATCCACAGAAGCTCTCAAAAACATCTAACAAAACCCTAGGGTTCACTTCCACCAGTGTAAATCAGGAGTAACTCTGTTGAAATCAGTGAAGATACACCAATTTTAAAGCTTTGTAACAGGAGAATCAAGCCCCTGGAGTTCACTTCTAAAAAGAATATATTTACAACATGCCTCCCAACAGCACTGCATGGATGGTGGAACAATTTTAAAAGACTATCTGTGAAGGAAATAAACCTATTAATTGAACAGAATTATTGTGCACCAAGGCTACATGTTTAAGAGGTCTCAACTGTATTCAGAATTATTACTGAACCATTTGGCACATCTCTAATATAAACCGTTATCCACTAGCCCCACTGGTGCATGCCTAGGCAAATTAACTCTTTTATATGCAGATCAAAAGAAAATGGTGTGTTATAATTAAATGATTCTTTTGGGGGCAGTAAACCTCTCTTCAAACAGCTTGAATATTAGTGCCGTCGTTCTTCTTTCAGCCCTACTAATCACAGCAAATTTAGCTTGCAGAGCCAGCGTCAGGGTGCAAGGTACTGGTGAATCTGCAGTACTGATGAGCAAATCCCAAAAGTGCTGGAGATTTGGTTCACAAAGATCTTTTCTGAAGCTATTCTAGATGTATCTGGACCCCTCACTGTTCATGAAATCAGGTTGGAAATCTTAAGATGACATGATTTCTGGTACATCTCTACCCTGATAAAACGCTGTCCTCGGGAGCCAAAAAATCTTACCGCCTTATAGGTGAAACCGCATTATATCGTACTTGCTTTGATCCACTGCAGTGCGCAGCCCTCTCCCCCCCCCCCCCGGAGCGCTTCTTTACCGCGTTATATCTGAATTCGTGTTACATTGGATCACGTTATATCGTGGTAGAGGTGTAATTACAAGTTGGGTTAAGGTCAGAAAGAGTGATAGCAGTGTTTTTTTTGGGGGGGGAATGTTGCTCTCTCTTTAACAGGAGGTCCAGGCAGTGTATGGAAATTAATTTGTTGTAACAAGTTATTGTCTTTGTTCAGATCTCAGAAAGATAAAGTTTAATCAAGTCCTAGGGGCTTAAATGTTGAAGAGTTCCGTCTGCAGGAAGGAAGCAACACCTGGCCCAGATCAGAAGGATCCATGGATTCCTAAAAGCACATCTAGGTCAATATTTGCTGAAGGGCTTAACTTTAGATGTGGACGTCTTAAAAAGGCCTAATTTTCAGAAGGTGCTGACACCCATCCTCTGACAATCAGGACCTAGGAACATGATCATTGCTGATTTTTTGCTGAGAAGCTCAGTGCATTATATTTTAATAAGGTAACCTCCAGAGACTTCAGTGGAAGGATTTCACAGGTAAAAATATGTAAGGTCCGTAGGTTGTGAGCAGCAATTGATAAATTACTTAGAGACCTTCAAAAAGTTAGCCTTTGATCTGCATAGATATTCTCATACTCTTTAATTAGCAGATTGAAAGACCCATAAGAATAGTATCTTTTTCTCCATCTCTCTAATCGACTGAGTACCTTCTTATATAACAGAGCATGTAGAGTCATTCAAATAAATCCCTGTAAGATACTTTGGAGCATGAGAGATGTCGGGAATAACCTGTGGGAAAACACTTCAGTAAAGATGGACACATCAGTTTTGACACCATAATATGCAAAATGGATTGCTGCTGTAGATTATACACTCCAGGATATAAAAGGAACAGCAATTTGTCTCTAAGGACCATGAGCTGCCTTCGATCTGCACATGTAGCTTGACGTCAGTGGGAGTCCCAATGCAGGCCGAGGGCAGAATATAGCCTAATTCTAACAAACCTCTTAGGAAAATGTTTAAAATGAAGAATCGAGCCATTCCATATTTCTCAGCATTACTTTAAATTGGAAACAAGCACACTTACAACAATAAAAAATAAAAAAACCAAGAAAACACTTTTACAGCACAAGTCCACTGCAATGAATATAATATACACATTTTATGTTATTGACATTCCCAATTTACTTTTTGTAAATAGCCAGACAATCACAACGTCAGGGTTGTAGAAGGTATTTCACTGTTTAAAATATAGGTACATATTTCTCCCCAGTTTCAAGGTTTCTCTGAATGCTCCTATTTAAGGCTAGTGCACCAGAATTCCCAGCTTCACTGAGGAGCAAAACAGAATCGTTATATTTACACCCTTCTGCTCAGAGCGAAATTCAAGGGTGAATCTAAGAGAGCATGACTAAGTAACGTCAATGGAGTTATGATGATTTACACAAGCTGTGGATCTGCCCCTAAACTGGTGTAACTTCCACCTCCTTTCAAGTCTCCTTAAAATGTACCTCTCTCCAACTTCTTCTATACATTTGCACTTCCTGTTTTTAACTGGAATTGGAAGTGCCAAAACCATGAGCCACACATTCTCATAAGACTTCCAGTCCAAGACCCCAAACCTGCAAACAGATTCAAAACTAATTCTATGCAGTGAGTTTATAAAGTTTGATAAGAGTTTGCAGGATCGGGACTCAACTTTACAGATTTAGGAGGTTAAGATAAATTCAGATAAACTTGAGAAAGGCATGCTCATCATTACTGGCACTCATCTAAACTGAACCTTCACCCCTTCTGAGTTTCACACATAAATACCTATTTAATCTGGGAGTTGGTTTTGCCACTTGTTTCTTCACAGTAAAACAAAATCCTGTAGGTGAAAAATTATCCATTTTTGGATTGAAGAGGAGAAAGGTTTTGAGAAGCATCATTATCAGTCGGTAATTGATCCATTTCTGTGTTCTGTATGATTGCCTGGGTCATCAGTTCACTTCCTGTGAAGCACCGCTTATCTAAAGCTGTAATTCATAACCATTGCTTTCATTTCTTTAGCATCAGCAGATTGTTTAACCTTGAGGTTAGCGTCTGCGGATGTGCTGGTGTTTAATGCGTAAAGGCACTATTTTGTAATTCAGAGGTTGTGCCTGAAATGTCCTACCCTACAGATTAGATTAAGTTTCCTAGAAGTTGAACTATTATTTTCCATGTCTCTCCCGAGGCATACACAAAGCTTATTGAATTCTTTAAAGAACTGTATTGTCTGCCTACTAATCTCTTGCTAATGCCAGATACTGATGAATGTACATACTGTAACATAACAAAAGGAAAAAATGTTTCAGCATTACATGAAAATAATTGCATCTGAAGAAGTGAGGTTCTTACCCACGAAAGCTTATGCTCCCAGTACTTCTGTTAGTCTCAAAGGTGCCACAGGACCCTCTGTTGCTTTTTATGAAAATAATTGTTATTCTACTTGGCTTCAGCTCCTTTGAGGACACCAAAACACTCCATGGGGGTGAGCTGATTTTGACAAAAAACTTTCGATGGAAACCAGACATATTTTAGGGAGCTGGACGCCTGGAAACCCCAGCTTCCAAACTCCCCTGATCCTCCACAGCTCACTATGCAGGCTGCTGAGACTCAGGGAGCCAGGGCACTCGGCAGATGGGATCAGAAATCTTTGAAGAATTCCTTGTCGGTTCTTCCAAAATGGTATTTTTTAAAAAATGTCTCTCCTGTGGAAAATGTTGCCTATCTATTTTTTTTTTCCGGTAATGCTAAATGTTCTCCAGGAAAGAAATTCTGATTTCTGTACAGCTCTTGTTCTAACTTTGTACAGTAATTAACAAAACAGCTTCAGTGACTTTCCAGAACCTTTCCCTATTACCTCCTCCCTGTCGGTGTCTTTCCCTGTGGCAGGGAAAGGCTTTGTCAGCACTGCTAAAAATAGCATTGTAGACAAGGGGCAGGAGACTGCTTGGGCATGTAGAAAGTTGTGTAGGGCATGTACCTAAGGTTCTGGCATGTCTTTTTTCTACTCACCTAAGCAGTGCCTCACCGTCTACACTGCTAACCCCTGTTGTCATGGAGCATGGAGTGTATGTACTCCACACTCCACTGTAAGGAATGCGCAGTGTAGACATACCCTCAAAGTAGTCCTGTCGTTAGAGCTGGGGACTGGGACTCAGGACGCCTGAATGCTAATCCTAGCTCAGCCACTGACTCACCGTGTAGCCTTGGATAACCACTTAGGCCTGCATTTTTAAACGTACATGCCTAGAGGCCTTATCTAGGCAGTAAAATAAGTGATCTGAGCACCTCTGAAAAACAAGCCACTTTGCATAAATATGGATTAAAGCTCTGATCTTGCAAACATCTATACATGTGTGCTTAACTTTCCACATGTCATTATTGCCGTTTACTTACATATAGGCATAAGTGTTTGCAAAGGCTGGGGCCTGCATACCTAACTTTTGGTACCCAAGTTTGAAAGTGTTGCCTCAATCTCTCAGCCCCTCAATTTATTCGTCTGTAAAACTCACGGTAAACATTTGTTCCCTACCTTGGAGAATGAGGATCCCTGACTCCATAGGGATCAGTTTTGCTATGACCTTTGAGATGGTGCCAAGACATCTGCCGGGGCTGCTTACACCAAACTTGTCCTGTCCTCTCCTCTCCTGCTCCCCAACTTGCAGATTGATCTTGGTGACTGAGTCAGCCTTTCGGTGAGCTAGAGAAATGATGGAGCCACAAAAGTTAAGAATAAAAATTTAACTATTGAAAGAGGAAGGGATTTTTAAACAGACAGTTACAAATTTGTATTTTCTTTGTTAACATTGGTTTAACGTTTAACAATGAATTAACCTTTTGGAGAAAGGACACATTTGTTACAGTTTCAACTCACCACCTCTTCAATTAAGTTACAAGCAATAAAGATATACATCCACTAAGCCCTCCAAAAAGTTCTTCCAGCAGAGCAAGGATAGACCAGGGTTGGCATTCCTGATACCTAAGGAACAGAAATCAGTCCAAAAAAGAGCAAAACCCCATTAAAAAAAAAGAACAAAGAAAAGAAATCACATAGGTGACCTTTAATTGCAACCTAAATCTAAATGAAGCACTACAACAAAACAACAGTGTCAAATATGAGAGACAAGGTAACTATCTGAAGCAAAGGTTTGTAACACAGATACTGGCTAACATCCTTTGCTTGAGAAACTTATTTCATACATTATGCACCATGGGATCAGATCAGATCAGCTTTGGCTGCAAATTACATTACCCCCCAGGTTCCCTTGATTAGTTTTCAAGAACAGCTCCAAATTTTCCAAGCATAAGTAAGGAATTAATCTACACTTTGAAAATGATCAGAACTCCCATTTTTAAAAAAAGAGATGACTTGATTTTACAGTGTTTTGGAGTAATTTAAGTGTGGGCTCCCGCATGTTTTAAGATGATGACCCTTTCTTTTAAATTGCTCATGATGGTTAATCAGCAAATCAAGACAGACTTCAACTTTAATTAAAGCTCAGCAAAAAATGCAAAAGGGTAATAGATGTAGGCCAGGCAATCATCTGAAAATTAAAAAGATGTACATTACAGGGAAATGTTTACTGCACATTTGCATTTTCAGAGGGCAGCTACACTGGTTTCTGCTGCATCACTTATCATGAGCTTTAATAATTAGCTCCAACATAATTAACTGTTAAATCAAAAAAGTATACCCTGATTTGCTTGATAAGAGGTTTCAATATTTCTGCATTTTCAGTATGAAATGGATATATATATATATACACACACACACACACCCAATAGAGCTTATTAACATTTTATAACCCTAAATGTTACTTCCTTGTGGCCTGTTCACATAGTCTCATTCAAAATTCACATTACATTTTTTTTTTTGCCTGCACAAAAACCTACAAGGTTAGATCTTTAGTCTACATCGCTCCCTAACTTCTGATGGGTCTGTCCTGTTAAAGTCATGCATTTTGTACTACTAATGATACCATTCACTTTTATAGTCCTTTTCTCCTGAGGATCCTAAAGCACTGTGACAAAATTAATTAAATAAGCCTCCCAGTCCCTGTCAGGTGGCTGAGTATTATTCTATTTTCATAGGTGGGGGTTGACAAGGTTGACAGAGATTCTGATTTGCCAAGGGTTATGCAGAAAATCAGTGGCAGCCCTGAGTACAGAACTCTGAAATTACTGCTGCTACTACTGAGTTCTAATCACTAGATGACACTTCCTCTTTCATGTACTGCTTGTGATACAGCATCTAATTGAATATAGCAGATATAAATGGAGGTATGAGCTAGCTGTTTATTGTAACAAACCTGTACCATTTATACCAGTGGGGTGGATGAAAGTTTTTGGGCAGGTTCTCAGCTGGTATAAATTGGTGAAGCTTCTTTGAAGTCAGCAGAGCTAACTGATTTATACTATCTGACATTCTGGTTCACTGTGTAGAAAGGCAAAAGAATCACACATATACACCTCTACCCCGATATAACGCGACCCGATATAACACAAATTCGGATATAATGCAGTAAAGCAGTGCTCTGGGGGGATGGGGCTGCACACTCCGGCAGATCAAAGCAAGTTCGATATAATGCGGTTTCACCTATAACGCGGTAATATTTTTTGGCTCCCGAAGACAGCGTTATATCGAGGTAGAGGTGTATAAAAGGATAGTATTATTCTCACCATAAGCACCACCATTACTAAGGGTCCAATGGGACAAATGTGGTTTGTTAGGACAACCAAGGCCCTATTTTATAAATTAGACTTGAAGTGGGAATGCCAATGATGACTATGTATTGAAATGCAACTTCTAGCATAACTTCTTTTTAATTGCTCATAATTTTTTTATAACCAGAGCTTAAATTCAGCCAGAGCCGTCTGGAGCAGAGTTCCAGTAAATATTTTCAAACCCATGGGAGCCCTGGCACAAGCCTGAGTCCCATACTTCCTCTAGGGCTGAAGCCTCAAGTCCCAGGCAATATTCTGTGAGAATTTAAGCCCTGCTCATACCATTTCCTTTTGCACCAAGATTGGCAGTGCTTTGTCTCTGCACAAAGGCATGTTTTTCTGTGGAAAGTTTCTGCCAAATCCAGTTGGCACGTGAAGAACCAAAACAAAACTAAATAAATCACTTATTCTGTTATGTTCCAATCAGAAATTTTGCATGCATAACAACATCTGCTGAATGAATTTTGCTTTAGAATCAGTCTTACTGGGATCTAAGAAAGAAGCCAAGTTTGAAGAGTATCAGGCTATAGTTTGGAAGTTACTACTTTGCATGCGTGAAAATAATAGATGCTTGTATTATTGCTGTTATTCTGTGTTTCTTTGAATTCTACATTAGGACTCTGGTGTTCTGTGTGTACAATGGGTTACCTCTGCTCAGGAGAAACCAAGAACATAAATAACAAGTTAAAAGAGATCAGGGCTGAGGTGTGAAGAAACCTTGCATAAAGTCTACAAACACAAGATCTGGCTCCAAGTTTCAACAACGAAAGTGCAGTGTAAACAAAGCCTAATTCTTAACTTGTTCTATCCCTATTTTAGCCTTAGATCCTACCGCATTTACACTGATGTTCACTATGTTAGTCTTCCAATCCTTGCTAACATTTCTGGTGAAAACAAATAAAAAAGCCGTTTAATACTTTGGTTGCATTTTCTATGATTGTCTTTTCCTCCTCATTGAGTAATGGTCCTATTCTGTCCTTGGACGACTTCTTGTTTCTAATGTATTTGTAAATGGTTTCCTGGCTACCCTTTATGTCCCCATCTTGTTTAATCTCATTTTGTGCTTTGGCCTTTCTAATTTTGTCCCTACACACTTGTATTATTTTGTTTGTTTGTTTGTGTTTGTTTTATAGTCAGGCTTCATAATTAAACCTAGTTTCCACTTTTGTATGACTTTTTGGAGTTTCAGGTAATTGAAGATCTTCTGGTTAAGCCAGGGTGGTTTGCCCCATATTTTCTATCTTTACTATGCATTGGGATAGTTTGCTCTTGTGTCCTTAATAATGTCTTTTTAAAAGTCATGTCTCCTGAATGTTTTTTCCCCCTTATACTTCCCATAGGAAGTTATCTACCAATTCTGAGTTTGCTAAAGTTTCCCTTCTTGAAGTCCATTGTCTTTGTTCTGCTATTTTCCCCTCCTACCGTTCCTTAGAATCATGAACTCTATCATTTCATGATCGCTTTCACCGAAGCTTCCTTCCACCTTCAAATTATCAACCAGTTCTTCCCTATTTGTCAGAATCAAATCTAGAACAGCCTCTCCCCTAGTCACTTTCTGCACCTTCTGTAATTAAAAGTGGTCTCCAATGCATTCCAAGAACCTGTTGGATAATCTGTGCCCTGCTGTATTATTTTCCCAACAGAAGTCTGGGTAGCTGAAGTCCCCTATCACCACCAACTCCTGTGCTTTGGATGTATTTTGGTTTTTTTTTTTTTTTTTAAAAAGTCCTCATCTACCTCTTCTTCTTAGTTAGGTAGTCTATAGAGACCCCGTACTATTACATCACCATTAATGGGGCTGTTTCAAGGCCTGCCATGTCTAGAAGTTTGGTAAGGTATTTTGATCATGAGGCAGTGTGGCCTAATGAATAAGGCTCTAAACTGGGACTCAAGAGACTTGGCCTCAATTCTAAGCTCTGCAACTGGTTTACTGGGTAACCTTGGTCAAGTCACTTCACCTTCCTATGCCTCAGTTTCCCCATCTGTAAAACTGTGACAGTGATACTGACCTACTTTGTAAAATGCTTTGCTATCTAGGGATGAAAAATGCTAAGGTCTAGCTATTATTATTTTGCAGCCTCAGGTCCTCCTACCAGTCACTCTCAAGCCAATATAGTATCGCTAAAGTGTCTAAGCATTTCCATTCTAAGGTCTTGATACATCTCTGAATTTCCCCACTGAAGTCAAGTTAAAGCATATACTACGTGCAAGCTAGATTAAGGTCTATGACCATGGGTCAGATCCTGGCTTCCATTGCAACATATCTACCTGTGCCAGGTGCTCATGGACATTTCAATTAACAAAAGGAATATTTGTATAAGAGATGTCTGTGACCTCCGTAATGAGCATTACCTGACACCTGTGGTATTTTTTCGTCATTATTAGAACTGGAAAAAAGTTGTTTGGCCAAAAAAGGCACCATAGGCAACACTGAAATATGTATGGATTCATGTTGGTTTTGTCAAATTGTTTGTTTAAAAAAAATTAAAAGTTGAAGTGTTTCATTTTGATATTTTCTACATTAAATATTTCAACCTTTTAGTTTGAAATGACATTTTGTTTCAAAATCTCCTTTAATTTTATTCTATTTTTAAAAATTCAAAAAAATGGCAAAAAAAGTTCAGTACCAAAACATTTTGATTTTGTCAAAACTAAAGGTCTCGTTTGCCAATAAATGAAACTTTTTTGACTTTTTGGTTTGCTGAAAATTTAAAAGATATTTGTTGTCAGTCTGATTCCAAAAGCATTTTTGTTTACTTTTTGTAATTCCCAACAAAGCAAAAAATCTGTTATTCACACAGCTCTTATTACTAACTACTACTTG